AGGAGGCAGGAAAGCAATCTCCCTCAATATCTAGTTTGGGCTGGTAGGAAGAAGGCCAGACTTGGAGGTTGATGGTTCAGGTTCCAGGCTCAAACTACCAGTCTAGCTCTGTGACCTTAGTTAAATCACTCTATATCTGAGCACCAGTATCTTTTCTCTTTTTCAAGAGTTTAAGATGAACTGAAATAAATAAATAAGTACAGTTTAGGGTGAAAGTGAGTTTATTAGTGAAGCAGTGAGACAAGGAATGGGCTACTCCACAGACAAAGCAGCCCGAGCACCAGGCTTGCTCTGAAAAATGTTTCCTAAGTCTACTGAAAGGATCCAGTAAAACACTTATGCAAGTAGGTCCCTGTGCTGGGCTTAATTTTCTTCTGTAGCTGTCTTGAAATTCTTAATTTTTGAAGGAGGAACTCTGCATTTTTATTTTACACTGGCCCCTGTAGCTAGTCCTATCTATACCCTGACCAACTAAATTAAAACTCCTCAGAGTTCTACAGTCTATAATGAATTGAATTAAATTGTTAGGACGATTCTCAATCCTTCCTCTGCCTGTTAGCAAAATTTGACTCACTCCTTCTTCCTTGAAACATTTTCCCACTTGGCTTCCAGGGCACTGCACTTCTCTGGTTTTCCTCTGCCTACTGGCTGCTCCTCTGCTATTTTCTCCCTAATCTATTAGCACATCCAAAGAAACTCCTGATCATCTCTTGCAAACATGCTTCTCCTAGTCTGTTTCATCTTTTCATGGTAACTCCATCTTTCCAGTGGCTCAGACCAAAAACCCTTGCCATCGTTTTTTACTGCATCTCTCACTCCATGTCCAATTTGTAAGCTGCTCCAGAATTGACCGCTTCACCATCGTCATCATAGTCCAACTCTCTCTCCCAGATTACTGCAAAACCTAAGTTACCTCCCTGTTTCCACCTCCTCCCCTGTGCCCAGGGGTCTGTTCTCCACACAGTTGCCAGAATAATCTTTTCAAAATATAAGCCAAGCCTCATCACTCCTCTGTTAAAAGTCATCCCATCACTATGCATCACAATCAGAGGAGAAATCCCCACAGGAGGTATCAGCCTCCTACCACACCCTCACCATTGGGTGGTGCCCCTCTCCCCTCTGCCTAGGATGCCTTCCCAGATATCAGTCTGGATGGCCCCTCATCATCTTCAGTTCTACGTAACTGTCCCCATCAGTCAGTCCTTCCCTGAGTACCTGATTTGCAACCACCATCAACTTTCACCCTCATTCCTCATCCAGTTCTTCCCTGCTCACTTTTCTCCAAAGCATTCATCACCATCTGATATGTACTGTATTTTATTTATTTGCATATTGTTTATCTCTTCCCATTAGACTGTAGGCTCTGTATGGACAGGACTTTGTGTCTCAACTGCTATATAACCAACACATAGGATAGTGCCAGTGAATGATGGTAGAAAGTTCTGGAACAGATGATGTTATTACTAGCATTAGGTTACAGTTGCATCAGCCCCTCTGAATGTATAAGGTACTTTCACAGTCTGTATGACCAGGAAGTTGGTCCTGCATACAGGAATGAGGCATTTATAGGGACTACTGTGAGCCAAGCCTCCCACCAGACTCAACTGTGGAGATAGAGTTTGTGGCCTAGAGGGAGGTTTCATAAATTTATGCAAATAACTCGAGAACAAGGCAGCATTTGTTAAAAATATCCAGCCTTTAATGCCTAACATCTCACATTCTGCCAGTGACGCTGGAGTTTTCTACAGAGTGAAGGGACAGTGAACCATGGCTTGTAAACTTACTGTGTGGCTATTTCTGTCCCAGGCAAGTTTCTGCACTGGCCTGCTTATCACACCAGACACCTTGCCTAACTTCCAATCTAATTTGCTCCCAAGTCTCTCCTCCACCCAATACAGCCCCCTAATTAACTGTTAAATGGAAACCCCTCCCACTTATAGTCCCTCCACATTCTGCTCCTACTGGGAACATGAGGCAGGGGTGGGATCAACTTTGGAGGGTTGCAATAGAGAATAAAGAACCTAAATATGTCCTTACAATGAAGATGATTATATCTCTCCATGAGCCTGCAGTTCACAGAACTCAGAGACTACATCTGTTCATCTTTGTGGCTTGACAGCCTTGCCCAGTATGTAGGACAGAGTGGGCATTCAGTTATGTTTGCTGGATCGCTGACATGGATGTTGTAAGCTCCAAGTCAAGACAATCCTGTTTAAGAAGTACTTCCTCATCATCTGTAAGGTGCCCCAGAGGTATTCTGTAAGGTTATTTTATTGAGCTGTCATAAGAAACAACTTAACCAGTAAGAATTAAAACATCTAAAAAAAAAAAAAAAAGAGAGAGAGAGAACAATATTTAAAATGGAAATTTAAGTTATAAAATTACATTTTATAATTTTTAAAGTTTCTTTTAATTTGCATTTGATTTCTTTAAATCCTTTATCTGAAAATCCAAAAATAATCAAGAGATAGATTACAAAACATGCCTTCCATTTCCTTCAGGATTCCTTTGAATAGGGACTCTCTGAACTTATCTGGTGTTTTAGAGACTTGTGAGAAAGAATGAGGAACTGAGAAACTTAAAACTAAAGGATTAGAATCTGCTAATTAAAAGCCATGTTAAGTTTTGGCGGTGGGTTTTGTTTTGTTGTGTGTGTGTGTGTGTGTTACATAATTTTCAATACTTTTCAGTGTGTATGTTCATATAACACATTTTCATACCCAGGCAAGATCAAGCATAAGAAGATAGCCCATCTTATAATCAGTAAGAGGTGCTGTCAGCAATAAGAGAAAATTTGGGACAGGTAAATCCTTCCTTAGTTCTCGTTTCTTTGTATACAAAGTAGGAGAGGAACTAGATGGTTACATGGGCCCTTCCAGTTCTAATGCATTAGAAGTCTATGGAAGCAGGGGCACCTATTCATATTATAAAGAATCCCTTTCAAATTTTCTGTTTCTGAAAATTTGACTTGGTTTCCCAAAATCTGGTTACTATATTTTTATTATTAACTAGAGGCCTGGTGCACAAATTTGTGCATGGGAAGGGGCTGGCAGGGGTGGGGGGTGGGAAGGGGACACAGGAGCTTGGCTGGCTGGTCCCACTCCTGATGGGGGGGAGGGGCCGATTAGGGCTGGGGCCAGCGGGTGGGGGAGGGCAAGAGGCGGAACCACAGGAGGTTGGCCAGCCACAGTGTGCATCAAAGCGACTGGTCATTCTGGTCATTCCGGTTGTTCTGGTCATCTGGTTCCTTGGCTTTTATATGTATATAGATAAAAGCAGCCAATGATTAAGCACATTCAACATGACAGGCACATAAAATGCCTTATATTGATTGATTCAGTGGTCCCAATAACCCCATGAGGTAGATGATGAATTGTTCCTATGTGCGAGAGATAAAGTGGCTCGATGACTAAGGTCACTGAATTAGGGAATGTGACAACACTCGAATTGAAACTTTCATCAATTTACTGTATGACTCCAGGACACGATATTAACCCCGAGTCTCCCAGACTGGCTGCAGGTATCAGGGATTCAGTGTTCCTTCCTTAGATGAACAGCTGTGGTTTTCTGTGCTTTTGCCTTCACAAATGGGGTGACCAATTGGAGATGGGGTGATTCCTTCTGCTTCGGCTTTGGTCTGTGCCCCTCTGTCATGGTGATGTTTACATTAGGAAATGCTTTTTTACTTCCCTGGATGAGTACCATTGGGTTTCCTAGTTAGCTTGAGTCACTTGTGAATGATTGGGTTAGCAGAAAAGGGTTCAAATTTGCTTTGAATTCCTATTTTAGGTCTTTTTTCTTATTTAAATTCTTTGTTTATTACATATGCCTCCCTTTCCCCCCATTTACCTCTTCCAGCCTGCGCCCAGCCCCCCAGCACATGCTCCCGCCCCCCTAGTGTCTGTGTCCATTGGTTATGCTTATATGCACACATACAAGTCCTTTGGTTGATCTCTTACCCACCCTTCCCCTGCATTTCTTCTGAAGTTTGATGGTCTGTTCGATGTTTCTCCGGATCTATTTTGGTTTATCAGTTTGTGTTGTTCATTGTATTCCACAAATAAGATCATCTGATATTTCTTTCTCCAATTTACTTATTTTGCTTAGCATAATGCTCTCCAATTCCATCCATGCTGTTGCAAATGGTAAGAACTCCTTCTTTTTTACAGAAGTATAGTAGTCCATTATGTAGAGGTACCAATCCACTCATCTACTGATGGGCACTTAGGCTGTTTCCAAATCTTAGCTATTGTAAATTGTGCTACTATGAACATAGGGGTGCATATATCCTTTCTGATTCTTTCTGATAGGTGTTTCCGACATATTCCTAGAAGTGGGATTACTGGTTCAAATGGGAATTCCATTTTTAATTTTTTAGAGGAAACTCTATACTAATACTGTTCTCCACAGGGCTGCATCAGCCTGCATTCCCACCAGCAATGCACAAGGGTGTGTGTGTGTGTGTGTGTGTGTGTGTGTGTGTCCCTGCATTCTCGCCAGCACTTGTTGTTTGATTTGTTGATGATAGGTGTGAGATGGTACCTCATTGTCATTTTGATTTGCATTTGCATCTCTCAGATGATTAGTGACTTTGAGCATGTTTTCATATATCTCTTGGCCTTCTGTATGTCCTCTTTCGAAAAGTCTCTGCTAGCCGAGACCGGTTTAGCTCAATGGATAGAGCGTCGGCTTGGGGACTGAAGGGACCCGGGTTCGATTCCGGTCAAGGGCATGTACCTTGGTTGTGGGCATATCCCCAGTAGGGGGTGTGCAAGAGGCAACTGATCGATGACTCTCTCATCGATGTTTCTAACTCTCTATCTCTCTCCCTTCCTCTCTGTATAAAATCAATAAAATATATTAAAAAAAAAAAAAGAAAAAAGAAAAAAAGAAAAGTGTCTGCTAGTATTTAGGTCCTTTGCCCATTTTTTTAAATTGGATTGTTTGTCCTATTTTAGGTCTTTACGCCTATTAATCTAATTCTATAACAGCACATACAGCAAGAGTTTACATTAATTTGCAACAGATTAAGGTTAAAAAAAATGTCACATGGGAAAAAACAATGTAAGATTAATTTCACAAGTATTTTGGCACTCTTCATAATTTTCATTTATTATTTTCACTTTCACAAAAACTGTGTGAGGTGCACAAGTCAGGAATTATTTTTACCCACTTTACAAATAAGGAAAGAGAACTATAGAAATGGTTGGGTGACTTGCTCTAGGACATGGATCTGGTGAGATCCTAGTGTTCTACCTATGCCACCCCCTCTGTAAAACAGAACATTACTTGTTGGTATACAGAACCAAGTGGCTGCTGTACCAAAGGCTGTGTGTGCCATGCCAGACTGGGGCTGTGGGCTCCTGTATAGTTAGCAACTGTGCTAGAGGGTGGGGACAGAGCAGCAGCCATGACCCCTACTCACACCTGTGCACTGTGATAAAGAAAATAGAAGTAGCCAGCAGCTGTGGTTCAACCAGATAAAACTTTTAGGCGGGAAGTCAAGTGACAAGTGAACTTGTGTGTGTGTGTGTTTTAGATGTTAATTGCTTTTGAAATTTTTTAAAAAGGCAGCTTGAGGAAGTCGGACCAAATAGTAGCAGGAAGGTATTGCAGCAAGATGGATTTGGGAAAGAACCAACCTCGTTTGGCACTGCATCAGACATGTGATTCTCACCAAGAAAACTACGTTCCAGGTAATGAAAGAGGTTGTAGCTTTTGGGAAGAATTGGGGCTATGATTGTTTTCCCCTTTTTTATGGATCTGGCAGAAAAGGGGCATGATTGAGTACATTCATATAACTACAGGTGGGAGGAGGGGTTGTAATCTTCATGAGGCACCTTCTAGTGCTAGGATTCTAATAAGCCAGAGAAACACAAGGAAATAATAAGTAAATTATTAATAAGAAATACATTTAAATGAAAGATAGTGAAAATACCCAATACTGGATGGTTGTGGTTAAACAAGTACATACCCCATGTGTATCTATGGTATGTAAATTTGGTAAAACTTTTGGGAAGTTTATAGCAATAGGTAGCAGGAACTGTAGTCCTTATTCTTTTGGTTTACTAAGTTTACTCATTGGGCCTATCCTAACACAGCGTTTCTCAAAATGTTTTGCAGAATTTAGGCCTTGAGGCAGTGTTTTTAATGTTTTCGTGCCTTGGGCCCCTTTGACGTTTTGATGAACTCCTAGATTCCTACACTCTTTTTTGGGGGGGGTTCCCAGTGCAAATTTGCTGTTAACTCCACAGGTTCTAAGAAATTCTACATCAACGACCCATTGATGTTTCTCAAACTTGGATAGCACCAGAACCTTTTTTTTTTTTTTTTTTAATGATACCTTTAATATTCTAAGGAACTTAGAGAAACATCATCCTATGGAAAAAATCCAAAGGAAAAAAGAGAGCTGTGTGCATGAGTATGTTCATTATAGCTTTATTTACAATGGCAAAAAAATAATTGGCAACAACCTAAATGTTCAACACAAGTAGAAAGACTGGGTAAATGAGAACACATCAACTGATTAAGAATCATGTAGTCATTAAAGTTATAATTATGAAGACCAGATCATGGAAAACAATCTGATATAATTTTTGGTTAATAAGTGATAAAATTGTGGTATAGTCTCATTACAATTTTATATAACATAGGAGTTAGATGGGAATGAGGAATAAAATGAAAAAAAGGTTATAATGTTAAAGGTGGAAGAACATGGCTGATTTTTTTCTTTTACATGTATACGTGAAAAATATTTTGAAGAAATTAATAGGTTGGTAGCACAGTTACATACAAAAACTGACCTTTTCATTTTAAAAGGTTTACTGTTTGATCCTAGGCATTCTTTAGAAGTATGAGGATAAATAAGGTGGAGTCCTTGTCCTCAAAAAGCTAGGAAAGAAGTAGACACCCAGCATAGAGTCCTTTGCCATAGAAGTCTTGCTGATAAATGTCAGAATTTGTTGCTATCTCCTATAACTTTCATTTTGATCTTACAGAAGTGATTGGAACTTGGAGTTTGCGAAACAGAGAGCAGCTCAGGAAAAGAAAAGCTGAAGCACAAGAAAAGCAAACGTCACAATGGCAGTTTGGGTATGGTATCCTTACAAGGGAAAAAGAAGCTGAGATATATATATATATATATATATATATATATATATATTTTAATACGTTTATATTGATTTTTAGATAGAGAGGGAAAGGGAAAGGGAGTTAGAAACATCAATGAGAGAGAAACATTAATCAGCTATTTCTTGTATGTCCCCAACTGGGGATCGAGCTCCGAACCCGGGCATGTGCCCTGATTGAGAATCAAACCAGTGACCTCTTGGTGCGATGCTCAATCCACCAGCTGGGCAAGAAGCTGATATTTGTCCAGCAAATGCTATGTGCCAAGTACTGCTGAGCACTTTCACACACTATATTTTATCATTCCCACTATCCTGTAAATCAGGAGCTGTTATCCCTATTTACAAAAAAAAAAAAAAAAAGGAAACCAAGTGTCCAGTGGGTTAAATCTCTTGTATAAAGTCATACAGCTGATAATGTGGTAAGAATAGAATTTTATCTCCCATCTCCTTAAGTTAAAACACCAGGCAATCGAATTATGCTGTCCAGAGGCCTGGTGCACAACCACTCTGGTAATATAAACACAGAAGAATTTTGTTTTTGGGAGCAAGGGACACCACTGAAGAAATCTCTTAGCTTGTTCTCCAAGCTTCCTTAGTAATCCTTATAGAGTGATTAATTCTCTAGGAAGGAAACCAAAACACGGTAAATGAGTGATGTGACAAGATAGTTTGGGAGTTCTTAAATCTCCCATCTAAGTCACCTGTCATCCCAGGGAGGGAGTACGAGAACATGATTATAAATTAGGCAGCATCAAACAGCATCCATTTAGAATATGATTGTAAAAGGACATTTCTAGCTTCGAGATGGAAAATAGGAGACCAAGGAGCCAAGGAGCACAGCATCTGTTGAAGCCAGGATTTTTATCCCTTGGCACTATTGACACTGTGGGCAGGATACTTCTTAGTGTGAGAGGCTGTCTTGCGCTTGAGGATGTTTAGAAACATCTGGCCCATAGCAATCCTCTTTTCTCCCCAAAAATGTCATGTCAAATGTCTCCTGGGGCAGGTGGAGAGGGAACAAAACAGCCTCCAGTTGAGAACCATTGATCTAAGCACTAGTCTTAAAAAAGGGCATTTGTCTTTTCTGCTACAATACTGCATATACGACCGGTAAATAGGAGAATGTTGTCAGTATAATATGGAAGTTGTGTTGATTCATGATTTTTCCTAGTCAAAGGAGCCAGAATATTGGGACTAGAAGGAAAGGAAAAAGCCTTTATTATAGCTGCTATTTAGGCAGGATCCTTTTCAGACTGCATCCAGGGCTGTTCCCCAAGAGAAGGGTAGCAGGTTGCACTTCCTCCTATGCTCAAATTAATGACAACCTCCCTAGCTCAAAGTGCCGCCCTTATTTGCATAATCTCAGCACCTGCAAACCTGCATTTACATGGTTGTTTGTGGGCATTTTTATTATCCCCTGAGGCAGCCTCCAGTCATGGTTACCTACCTGTCTGGACTATCCATATTACTTCAAGTACCAATTATTGTTTCTGCTAGTGTTGAAAAAGTTGCATAGGTTTGGAGTCATTTGGCCCAGCTCATTTTCTCCCATTACTTTTAGTGCATGATTTTTCAGAAAGTGAAATTTTCTAGGAATATGTTTATTATTTTTTAGCAGAAACATCTATACTTGGGTCCTCTGGCAGGTGACTCTGTTGAAGAGTATCCAATTAGCTCTCCGAATTCTATATTTGCCCAGCAACCTTCTAATCATTAATTGGCTTCTCAAGTACTTGCTACAGAGAAAGAGTGCATTCATTTATCAGCCCAAATATTCTTTGCTGTGTGACTTTGCACTTCTTACTGTTCATTTAAAAATGGGTCTTTGGGCCCTAACCAGTTTGGCTCAGTGGATAGAGCGTTGGCCTTGGGCCTGAAGGGTTCCAGGTTTGATTCTGGTCAAGGGCAGGTACCTTGGTTGCAGGCACATCCTCAGAAGGTGTGCAGGAGCCAGCTGATAAATCTTTCTCTCTCATCGATGTTTCTCACTCTCTATCCCTCTCTCTTCCTCTCTGTAAAAAAAAAATCAATAAAATATATATTTTAGAAAATAGGCCTGTGGGTTTACATACCAGTCTATTTGAGCTGGTTGATGAGCTCTGCCCCTGAGAAAAGGAGCTAGTTTTAATATGCTGGTAGAATTGGGTTTCTGTGCTTGTTGCACTGGGGAGCCAAGGCTGAGGAAGTCACTGAAGTACATGACACCTTGGTGAACTCTTAGCAGCTGGCTGTTCTTGCTCTGGTGACACAGTTCTTCACTGCCAGCACGCCACACAGTGAAGTCTTAGCAGGCGTCCTCAAACTTTTTAAAGTGGGGGCCAGATCACGGTCCCTCAGAGAGCTGGAGGGCTGGACTATATGAACTACTAATTCCTACTGTAACACCTCGGCTGCGCTCACTGCCCAAAAAACCTGGCGGGCCGGATCAGACTCCTCTGCGGGCCGCATGTGGCCCGCGGGCCGTAGTTTGAAGACGCCTGCGAGCAGTTCCAGAGAGAAGCAGCAGGTGCAATGACTAAGAGCCTGGCCATTAAAGCCATGATGAGATTAGAAGCCTGGCTCCCCTGCTTCCTGGGCATTTGATCTTGGACTATTTACTCCCTCTTTCTGGGCCTCAGTTCTGTCATTTGCAAAATGGAGATAATAGTATCCACTTCAAAAGTTGATGTGAAATCATTATTCCTTATATAAGAACTTGAGGTCGGTGCACGAAATTCGTGCATGGGTAGGGTCCCTAGGCCTGGCCAGCAATCAGGACCAATCTGGACCTTCTGGCTGCCACTGGGACCTCCCTTCCCTGGCTGCCAGCTGCCAGCTGGGGCCTTCCTTCATTCCGTGCTGCCCCCTGGTGGTCAGCACACATCATAGCAAGCGATAGAACGCCAAGTCTCCTGGTCAAACTCCTGCAGGAACACTTTGCACATCAGCCTTTTATATGTATATAGATAAGGAAATTACTTAAAACAGTGCCTGGCACATGGGAAGCACTATAAGTTTCCTATAGGAACACAAGAGTGCTACTTTATATTTGGATAATTCATTAAAGTAAGTTATTACATGCAATTCTTATAACAACCACATGAGGTTGGGGAGATTCTACAATTCCATTTAATCTATGAAGAAATCAAGGCATAGAGCAGTTAAGTGACTTGCCCACAGTCACGTAGCTGATAAATGACATAATCTTTTTAAAAACTACCAGAAAGAATATGGGACATTTATATTACTCAGATTTCCTCATTTAGAGATCTACATAACAAAATATTTAGGACTTAATATCTAGGAAAAAGTGTTTCCTGAATAATTTAGATAACTTGACAATAAGGATTTTTTTAAAATTTACCTTGTTACCTTGGTTACTTGGAGTTATATTTTAAAATGTTGAGGTTTCATACCACCATTTTTAGATTTCTTTTTCTTCTAATTTATTTTTAATATTTAGACATCCTATTGCATACATACTCTTTTAATAATGACTTTAAACTTGTTTTGGTGAGGCAGTCTTTAAATTTTTTTGAATATGAAAATTTTCAAACACACAAAATAGAGTATATATACATTTTTAAGGTATATAGGGAACTATGAGCATTACAAAGATATAAAAGACACTGGTTTAATCACTAGAGAATATCTAGTTTATTTTTTTAAATGTTTCTCCAGAAATAACTATGGATTAAGGCAGCCTGTGATCCTTGCCTTAAGCATGATCCTCCTAATAAATCACAAAGGAGTGTTAAGCAGGGAGAGCATTTCAGCCCTCTGGTTTGTAAGAGAAGGCTCTTTGGAACAGGTAGCATAGGACAGAATTTCAATGGGTTTAGAAAAATGATGAAGTGTTTATTTATAACCTTTTTTCTCCCCCCTGAGCCCATCTGTATTAGCCATCTGTATTTGGTTATATTTGCAGTACCCAACAATTTGTCATTGGCTGCAATTTCCATGTACATGCTTTGATCTTTAGATCTTTAATCTAGCTATTACTTCACAGTAAGCATGACATGGCCACTCATGCCTTTCCACCAGGCTTTTTAACCTCAAGAAATGTTTTTTGCAGCATGTGATCTAACTTACAGTATATCTCATTTGACTTTTTTTTTTCTTTTTTTTAATTTTTTTTAATTAAATTATTATCTGTGTACATATTTTGTGACTTTTTTTTTCTAATCTTCTATGTATCAGTCCAATTTTAGTATATGTGCCGAAGCGAGTGCTCAAGACACTGTATTAGATAAACAAGCCATATACATCACCCACCTGCAGATTGCAGAGACAAGGAACAGTGTCTGGACTGAGGATGTAGAAACACAAATGTATGAGTTTACCCGGGACATAGCAGGACTAACTCAAACAGACTAAACCCAAAGAGACTAGTGTATAAACCAGAATGCTAATCTATTCACTTATAGCATAATTATACATCTTCATAACTAATTAAGTATATGCTTTCAAACAAACACTACACTTGCTGGTGAGCAAGGCATGAGAGACACAAAGTTCCTGAGGGACATTCCTCTCCTGACAATTGAGTACATCTAGCCCTGCTCCTTCATTTGGCAAACAAGGAGGTTGAAGCACAGAGAGATTAAGTGACTTGTTCAAAGGTTGTGAAACAAGGCAGTGGGATACCTGGACTGTTACTACCAACCACTTACCTGAATTCTTTAGCCCTGTTGTTGATGCTAATTCTGATCTCTCCACAGAGAGAAAAAATACAAGCGGCAGAAGACGGGAAAAGGAAATCAAAGAGGCAGAAAGAACCACCAAAATACAGAACTAAAGGTAGAGCCTCAGTCACAATTAGAAAAGGAAATGATGGAGAATGCACTGGCACCTACAGAGAAAGAAAACGAATCACCTAGGAGTGTAACTGAAGCTCTCCCTTCAGTAGCCTCCCCAAAGAGAACTGAACCTGAGAAAAAACTTCCTGCCACAGGTCAAGAAAGCACTATATGTCAGAAAAATTCTTCTGAGTACCAAGAAACAACAGTTCAAAACCACCCTTCTGAAATAGGCCAAGATATTGCTGAGCCTGAAGACCTCTCTCCTAAATTGTGCTTAGAAATCGCTGTAATTCAAGGTCATTCTTCCAAAATGTGCCATGATATGGCTGGACCTGAAGACCTCTCTCCTAAAATGTGCCAAGAAATCGCTGTAATTCAAGGTCATTCTTCCAAAATGTGCCATGATATCCCTGAACCTGAAGACCTCTCTCCTAAAATGTGCCAAGAAACATCTGTAGTCAAAGCCCTTCCTTCTAAAACATATGAAGACACAGCTGGCATGGAAGGATGCTCTCTTGAAGTATGCCCCAAAGCAGAAGTGCCTAAAGGTTACACTCTTGAAACACACCAAACAAGAGCTGAACCCAAGGAAGACAGTACTGAACCAGGTCAAGGAATAGCTGGGACTGAAAGCTTTCCTCCTAAAATACAACAAGAAATAGCTGAGCCTAAGGACCTTTCTACAAAAGCATACCAAGAAAGGGTTGAACCTGAACATGTTTCTCATAAAGCCTATGAAGAAATTTCTGTGCCCAAAGCCCTCTCTTGTAAGACAATCCAAGAAACACCTGCTCATGAGGAATGTCCATCTGAAATATACATTTACCAAAAAACACCTGAGCCTGAAGATTGTGCATCTGAAATATACCAAGAAAAACAAGGTCCTGAAGACTGTGCACCCGAAATACATAAAGAAACACCTGGGCCTGAAGACCTCTCCACTAAGATATATAAGAATGTGCCTGTATTATGCTTTCCTGAACCTACCCAAGAAGTAGATGGGCCCCATGGCCAGGATCCTAACGCACACCAGGAAGATACTACGGATGTTTATACTTTTTCTCGAGGTAGGGGTGGTTTATAGGGGACAAGTCAATGACCTGTTTCCATTTATAATTAGAGCATCAAATAGTTATAACTACCTCAGAGTGGTGATTTATAGCCTTCTTCAACAGACCTTGGTTATCCACAGTCATCTCAAGGGGTATCATTAATGTCATTGGCTAGTTTTTCATTTAACCAATGTCTGTCTGGCACATTTTCTTTCTTTTTTTAATAAATATTTTATTGATTTTTCACAGAGAGGAAGGGAGAGGGATAGAGAGTTAGAAACATCGATGAGATACATCGACCAGCTGCCTCCTGCATACCCCCCATCGGGGATTTGCCCGCAACCAGTGTACATGCTCTTGACCGGAATCGAACCTGGGACATTTCAGTCTGCAGACCGACACTCTATCCATTGAGCCAAACTGGTTTCTGCTGTCTGGCACATTTTCAAAGAATTAAAAGAAAATAATTGAAAATATAAGTGTGTATAGTAGTTGCTTATACATGCTATCCATTTCAGGAAGTTTTAGCCAGTCAAAGAAATTAAGCCAATATAGGATAATGTGTGTGCAAAATATTTTAAAAGATAAAATATTAGATTTACAAGAAAACTTGAATAAAGTTTTTCTTGAATATTAAAATTTCATGGCAAGCAAAAGGCAAGTAAATGCATAGCATACAGTACTAAATAAGATACAAAGGTGTAAAATATGATTCCTGTTACCAGGATTTATCATGTTTACCAAAAACCCTTTCTATTTTATTATCTGTCTGAAAAGCTTTCTCCTAAGTATAGAATTTTGAAAAGAATGTGACCTTTCTTCAATTTGACTAGCCTCAGGGACATAGCTGGGAATTTCTATTCTCTTCGTACAGTGCTGTAGATTATACTATAAGAAAATGGGCTGCCCTAGCCGGTTTGGCTCAGTAGATAGGGCGTCAGCCTGCAAAGTGAAGAGTCCCGGGTTCGATTCCAGTCAAGGGCACATACTGGTTGCATCTTAATTCCCGGCCCTGGTCAGGGCACATGCAGGAAACAACCAACTGAAGTGTCAATGTTTCTATCTCTCACCCTCCTTTCCATTCTCTCTAAAAATCAATGGGAAAATATCCTTGGGTGAGGATTAACAAGAAAAAGAAAATGGGCTGAGTGTCAGACCATAGTTTCTCCAGGGATTTTGTTTTCTAAAGAAATCCTTTTGATAGTTGATTTACTTTTTCTCTTTAATAGTGCAAGAAAACTATGGGGTTAGTAGGGTTCCAAGTAACGTTTTAAAAATCTTTGCCTACCTGCTAGTTTTTTTTTTTAAACCACTAGTTGTTTTAATTGCCACCTTTAAAAATATATATATATTAATATATATATTAATATATATAAAATTGATTTTTTATAGAGAGGAAGGGAGAGGGATAGAAAGTTAGAAACATTGATGAGAGAGTAACATCGATCAGCTGCCTCCTGCACACCCCCCACTGGGGATGTGCCCGCAACCCAAGTACATGCCCTTGACTGGAATCGAACCCGGGCCCCTTGAGTCTGCAGGCCGACGCCCTTTCCATTGAGCCAAACCTGTTTCAGGTAATTGCCACCTTTTTGATGACTAATGCTACTTGACATCTTTAATAATTATTATGAATTTGAACTTTTTCTTTTGAGAATTGCCTGTTTGAATCCTTGTTCTGTTTTAAGTTTGGGATATCTATCTTTGGCTGATTAAAAATTTCTTTAAACAATAGTTCTTAAACTTTTGCCTACATATTAGTTGTATATATTTTTCCAGTTGTTGCTTGTGGTTTAACTTTGTTTATAGTGCTTTTTGTCTTGTGTATGACATTTAAATTTTTAGTTTTTAGTTGTTCAAATGTGTCAATCTTTTCCAGAAAGCATATCCGGTCTGTGTTCTGCTTAGAAAGGCCTTTTTGATCCAAAAATTATAGGAATATTCCATTATTTCTACAACATATATGGTATTTTAATATTTAAATCTTTAATTCATCTATAATTTCTTTTTGTGCAAGGTCTGAGGTAGAGTTTTGTTTTTCTTCAAATGGATAGTCAGTTGTCCCAAATCCATTTATTGAACTTCTTTTTATATTTTATTTGGTTTTACAGAAATGAAAGAAAAGCCAAAAGCACAAGAACCAGAGACACCAGCAATTCCAGATGTTCCTCAAGAGATCAACCCAGAAAATGATGTCTATAGTTATGTTTTGTTTTAACAATGCTCGATCATAACAATTGTGAAGCAAAATACACATCTTATTCCACATGATTTCTCTCAAAATATTGTAGCAATCTCTACAATATTCATTAATAATTTAATAGTGTGTTCTTTTTCCATGTATAGACCTTATCTGAAAGAGAAAACTAATGTGTTTTTCAGGCTATATTACATAGACAATAATCTACAGTGTGTGCATGTGTGTGTGTGTGTGTGTGTGTGTGTGTATTGGGGTGAGGATAGTGGTGGGAAAAGATGAAAATGAGAAAGGGGAGGGCTGAATAATTAACTTACCCCTAATAATTATTTTTTATTAATTTTTTTTTAATTTACACCTGTGGATATTGTTTCATTGATTTTCAGAGAGAGTGGAAAGGAGGGGGAGAGATAGAGGGAAAGAAACATCAATGTAAGAGGGACATATGGATTGGTTGCCTTCTGCATGCACCCTGACCAGGGCCAGGGATTGAGCCTGCAACTGAAGTATGTGCCCTTGACTGGAATTGAACCTGGGAGTCTTCGGTCTATGGGCTGTCGCTCTATCTACAGAGTCATACCAGCTAGGGCTTGATTAATTCTTAAGAGCAGAAAAATTAATAAATCTGAGCACTTAAAATATGGGTGAGTATATACTTGTAAACTTTGTTCAACTAATAATGTAAAAATAGCATCAAAATTTTATTGAGATTTTAGGTGTGTTTTTTTTTTAAGTTAATTTTATCTTTCTGGTACTCCAAAGAACTTTTGTAGTGCTGAATATATTGTGTATTTGAATTTGAATTTTCTGTTTTTACTTTTTATATATTGTATTTGTACATTAAATCATTATTATATGCTTAATTGTGTGGAATACATCATGGTAAGCATTTCGAAAGTTAGAAGACTTATGACACTTTGTCCATCAGGTGTTTAATCTAGTCTTAAGGGAGAATAAGACAGGAAACAAATAATTACTAAAGAAAATAGTAAATGCTAGTGCCATTTGAACAGTAGATACAATTAAGGGAATGCTCTCTTTTGCTGAAGTGATCTGAAAAATTATACGAGTGGAGCCTTGAAAGATGGAGAGGATTTATATTGTAGGTGAGGTTAACAGCATTATTATGGTACGTGGAACGTATTACAGAGAGGAGTGAATTCAAGTATTAAAGACGTTCCGTTAGTACAGGGTCCCTGTGGAATAGCAGCCTATTAGCTAAAAAAATCTTATATTATTAGAGCGAACAGAATTTTGAATACTTAACTAAGAAGTTTATCCCTTACTTATTAGGTAAGGAAGACTTTTGAACTATGAAGTGGCAGTTTTAGTATTTTAGGAGAATTTATTTGGTGATAATGGTCAGGATTAACTGAAAATGAGGAGAGCCTGGGGTCAGGAGCAGGAACTATTCTGGGTGGGAAGAAGTCAAAGTTTGGTTCAGCAAGGGCACAATTGCCTAAGAAGCTTTCTATGTAGGTGTAGCTGACAGTAGAGAACAAGACAATCCTAGTCTCTCAAGAATTCATGGTGTAGAAAAGTGTTTCTCAACCCTCTTGGTATACAAGAACCACTGGGGAAGATTTCAAAATTACAGATGCCCAGACACCTCCCTGGGGCTTCTATTCACCTGCCTAGGATGACATCCAGACATAGGTATATTTTTTTATTTTGCTTTAAATGATTTTTTGAGAAATAATTTCAGAATTACATAAAAGTAAAATAGTACAGATATTCCTGTATACCTTTCATCCAGTTGACATCTTCTATAACTATGGTCCACATACCAAAACTTAAGAAATTAAGATTGTTACATTACCTTGAAGAGGTAGCGATCTACTTCATTAGTATTTCCAAGTCTGCTCTGCATTTCAGTACTTGTCACACTTGATAATGAATGTATTTTTTTGTGTGAATGTCATCATATTTAATGTTTAAGGCAGGGAAGGCAAATAAATACCTCATTTTTTACATTAGACTGTCCACATATTGAGGAAGACTCACTTTCCACAGCACCACCATCTAGTGGCAAGCACAGCTATTACCACGCCAGTTTTACAATGTACAATATATATAGCTCAGCAATTCTCAAACTTGTTTCTTCAGCTACACAGAGCTGTTTCCAAGTGGAAACAGAATAATAGCATTCTTTTCCAAATTGTCTCTTTAAATCATTGGCCTTTCTTTTTAAACCACGTTCTCTTTAAATCCTTGGCTCTTTCTGCTGACTATTTTCTACTAGTGACCTATTAGTTCATAACAAATGGACAGATTTAGAAACAGCTTTTTAAACAATGGTTGTTAAGCTTTTAAGTCTGTGGACGTGTATGCTTTTGAATAATTTATATTGTAGGCAATATGTCTCCATCCTACCACCACACCACGTGAACCAACTGGATGAAGTGCCCAGAAGCAGAAAAATGCATACAGAGAAATTTAAAATAGATCACAGATTATGATACAAGTGGGTAAAAGGACAGGCTAGTTTACAGGGATAACTGCTCATCTAGTGGGATTTAAAATAAGGATCCTCGTTGCCCCTCAGCTTTTCAGAGCTGCCCAGAAACAACGACCCTAATCCTTTCCATGTCAATGGCTTGTTGACTCGCAATTTCATTCTCACTTCAGCTTCCTTGAGGCAGGGAGCACGGCAACAGTCCCAACCTCTTAACCCCTAATCCGGTATGGGGTTTCCCCATCCATTTTATTCGAAGTAAGGTTTAGTTGGATCCCTTTTCTGGTAAATCCTTCTTATTACGGAAAAACAGGAGCATACATACAAGTATAAATGTACGGGTATTCCCACCACTCGAGAATTTTAAACATTTTCTAACAACCGATCATTCTGCTATTTGGTGGTTGCGCACAAACACATTCTTTCTCTCCCCCACAACCCGCCCCACATTCTTTTTCTTTAAATATTAGCGTCATGCGCTTGATATGTAGGTTGATTATTTCGAGACAGACATCTTTTACATCTTGGATGTGTCCTCTCCCCCCACCCCGTTTGGGAAGGGCGGGGACTCGGGAGTCGCTGACTGCTCTGAAAGGGCTAGCAACTGCGGTGGGTCCGCGCGAGACAACTGAGATACCTGTTCGGTTCCGGAGAGGAACCGCGTAACGGGAGAGGAACAGAGGACGACACACACCTCTGAGTAAAGGTAACCTTTGGGCAGCCCGAGGACACCGCGCGCGCCCCAGCCCCGGCGCCTGCGCCGGATACTGACACCACCTTGCGGATACGGCTGCTGCGCAGGCGCCAGGCATACAGACCGGAAGCGGAAGGCCCGGACGCGTCGGGTGGGCGCCTCCGTCACCAGTAGCCATGCGCGGCTTGGAGGAACCAGGGCGTCGCCCCACAGCCACCCCGTGTGGGTGCGTGAAACCGGCTCTGGAGACAGGTAACTTCTGAGAGGCTGGCGCTTTCGCCCTCGGAAGAGGCCCAGATGTGGAGAGCCCACTTCGCTGCCGAGAGGGACCAGAAATGCCAGACCCTGTTTTTGACGTGCGTCACATTTACTGCGAAGGCGCGGCTCACGTGCTTCGTCTACCACGTGACGTGTGTAGGCGGGCTGGATGGCGTCATCACGTATCTCGGTGGACGAAGCCCGCCAGGTCCGGCGCGGTGGTTGGAACTAGCCACATCCAGTTGAAAGGCTCTCAGGGAGTTTTTTTCATGGAGGAGAGCTGGGCTAGGTGCCGCTGGGGGTGTGCGGGTTCGGAATTAGTGAGAAGCACCCTGTGCCTCAGGCAACGAGGAAAGCCTGGAAAGCCCAGCGGGAGGAAATAGTTTTAAACTGGGCTGGAAAGGTGGAAATGAGGTTGCTTCTCTTTCACCTCTGTATGTAGAGCGAGCTATATTAACTTTATAAACTAGAGGATGCAAGTGGAAGAAAATTAGCCACCCCCCAGAGAAAACCATTGTGAATATCTTGATTTTTTTTTAAATGTAGAATTTTTTTATTTCTTTATTGGTTATGGTATCACATAATTGTTCTCATCCCCCTATTCCCATCCCAAACCCCTCCCCACGTATACTCCCAATCCCCCTGTTTTCCATGATCACTGGTTAGGCCTATCTGCATGCATACAAGTCCTTTGGTTGATCTCTCCCACTTTCCTCCACCCTCCCCTGCCTTCTCCCTGAGGTTTGACAGTCTGATCGATGCTTCCCTATCACTGGGTCTGTTTTTGTTCTTCAGCTTATGTTGTTCATTATTTTCCTTAGATGCGTGATCTTGATGTTTGTTTTACTACACACGCCCTAGAAATATGAGTTGATATATGACCCCCTAAAAATTTAGGGATTCATAAAAATCTATGGTTAATCATTTTAATTTTAAGGGGTTAACTGTTTTGTTTTATAGACTTAAGTTCCCTGTAATTGGGTATTTAGGTTATTGCCAGTTTTCATTGTTCTAAATGAAAGTTCTTGAAACTAAAAATCTTTGTGTATGCTCTAGATCACATGTGTCAAACACAAGGCCCGCGGGCCAAATCCGTTCCGCCAGGCCTTGCAATGTGGCCCGCACCGCGCTGTCATCACTGCACTCCTCTGCGTTTCCATCACAATGACAGTTTATGACTGTTCAGTAAACCATTCGGCCCGCGATTTAGGCTGGATTTTAGATTTTGGCCCCTTCTCTGATTGAGTTCGACACCTCTACTCTAGATGTTTGACTTAAATTTCCCTACTGTTACCTGGTCAAAGGTTGTGCTCGTTTTTTTAAAAAGTTGCACTGCTGAAACCGGTTTGGCTCAGTGGTAGAGTGCCCGAAGGGTCCCAGGTTCGATTCTGGTCAAGGGCATGTACATTGGTTGCGGGCACATCCCCTGTAGGGGGTGTGCAAGAGGCAGCTGGTCGATGTTTTTCTTTCATCGAGGTTTCTAGCTCTCTCTCTCTCCCTTCCTCTCTGTAAAAAAATCAATAAAATATATTAAAAAAAAAAAAAAAGTTGCACACTGCCGGATTACAAATCTAGCATTTTGTCAGGCAAGAAAGAGCCTGGCTCAGAGGTGTGTGGGGTGAGAAAGCTGTAAATCCAGAAGTATTTGATGGAACAGGGAGTTTGGGGAACCATTGATTGGATTCACATTAAAGAGAACCTTGAACACCAGGCTAAGAAATGCGCCATCTGTTAACAGTGGAAAGATGGAAAGTTAAAAAGTTAGTAGCATGTCATAAGGAACGCAGGGTCTGGAGGATTTGAATAGTGTGTATTGAGGAGGGGAGGGACTGGCAGAGGGGAGACATACGAGTAATTTAATAGTCCAGGCAAGAAATGGAAAGGATCTACCATTTGAGCTTTTCTGTCTGCACAAGACTTGTAAATAAACATTGTGTATAAAACCTCTATGTTAGTAACTTATTGGTGTTTTTTTTTCTTATTACACAGTTAATATAGTTGTAATATTGTTAAAAGGAAGGAAAAGCCTGAACAAGGGCTTTAAAAACCACTCCTTGCTGAGCACCTTCTGTTGTACTAGGTGCTTGACATCTTTTTATAATCTTTTAACTCTAATACAGGTGTTATTATCCTTGTTTTATAGATGAGAAAACGGATTCAAAGACGTAAGCGGTTTTGTCCAAGGTCACACGGCTAGTGTAATAACTCTATGTTGTTTTTGTCCTTTTTCTCTTCCGATACTAGCCCTAACCCTCCCATACTACTTTAGGGAGTCACTTCACCCCATTTCCCTGTGATTTTCATGCCAGTACTACTCCCATGGCATACCTGTGCTTATTCCTATCCTGCATGTAAGAATCATGTTCTGCTGAAACCGGTTTGGCTCAACGGATAGAGCGTTGGTCTACAGCACATGTGTCAAACACAAGGCCCGCGGGCCAAATCCGTCCCGCCAGGCCTTGCAATGTGGCCTGCACCGCGCTGTCATCACTGCACTCCGCTGCGTTTCCATCACAATGACAGTTTATGACTGTTCAGTAAACCATTCGGCCCGAGATTTAGGCTGGATTTTAGATTTTGGCCCCTTCTCTGATTGAGTTCGACACCCCTAGTCTACAGACTGAAAGGTCCCGGGTTCGATTCCGGTCAAGGACATGTACCTGGGTTGCGGGCACATCCCCAGTAGGGGGTGTGCAAAAGGCAGCTGATCAATGATTCTCTCTCATCAATGTTTCTGGCTCTCTATCCCTCTCTCTTCCTCTCTGTAAAAAAATCAATTAAAAAAATATATTAAAAAAACAAGAATCATGTTCTATAATTGTATAGCACCTGGAAGGTTTTAAAACTATAAAATCAATGCATTGGAAAAAAACATGTTTTCATACATCTTTTGACTAATGATTTCTCACCTAATTTTTTTTTTTCTATAGGGAATCTTTTAACTGAGCCAATTGGCTACTTGGAATCCTGTTTCTCAGCCAAGAATGGTACTCCAAGGCAGCCATCCATTTGTCGCCATTCAAGGGCTTGTTTGAGGATTAAAAAGAGCATCTTTAATAATCCTGAACATTCGTTGATGGGTTTAGAAGAGTTTTCTCATGTTTGGTAAGTTGTTTTACAGCACTGGGCCAGAGCTCTCCCCTGAGTAAAATGTGTTCCAGTTGATATGCAGCCACTGATGGAGGCAGCCTTGGAGCCGGTCATCCAGACCCACCTGTCTGTTGCATGAAGTTCCTCTACTGTATTTGTACATGTGATTATCTTAATAACTTTGACACCCTGAGGGAAGCTTGGGGTACACTGAGGAGGCACAGGCCTTTTGCAGTTGGTTCTAATTGTGATCAACACCTTTCCGTTGAGCTGGAATCTGCAGTGTAGACCCTCTCTATTCTGTCTATGGGTAGTCATTCTAACCTCTGCAACAGCAGTCAGCAAGCTGTGGCCCATGGACCAAATCCATCCCACTACCTTCTGTTTTTGTAAGTAAGTGTGTGGGAACAGCCACATGCATTTATTAATATGCTACAGCAGCAGTGTTGAATAGTTACAGCACAGACTGATTGGCCTACAAACCCTAAAATATTTAATATCCGACTCTAAATGGGAGTCTGCCAGTTTCAATAAATTTCCACCTTTTACAATACTACTACTACGACTAATAATAATAAAGTATTACCTATGTTAAAGCATGTGTTATATGTGTCATTTGGAATTTTTTCTGTCTATTCTTCCTCACCCCAACATCAGCAGTCTGAAGTGGTCGAATTTTACTGGTGAAGACCTAAAATTAAGTGTTCTGAAATAGTACTTTTTTCATGTTAGTTTGGGTAGATTAGAACATGGGTGTTCTGATAACCTGGTGTGTATGGTCTTGGTTGAATTATTTAAGTTAAAAACATTGCTGATTTAAAAAATGGATTCAGGAGAATTTTTCCCCCCTTAATTCTTCTATTTTTCTTGCTATTACAGTCATGCATTCCCACTTTCCAACACTCTTTAGGGATTATCGCTGTTAACAGATCTGTGTATATCCTGCCAGACCTTTTCTTTCTTTTTCTTTTTTGATACTCATAGAAGCATAAATATATACATACAGAGTGAGGGTTTTTTTTAAATGAAATATGTTTTCTTCACTTAGAGTATATCATGATAGTACATATAGATTTACTTTCTTTTGCTTTAATGGCTGCCTGTTATTGCAAAATATAGATGTACCATGATTTGACTATTCTCTTGTTAATGGAGATTTATTTGCTATTACAGTCATGCTGCAACAAATCTCCTTAGACACATTCTTGGGCACTTGTACATTTTTATAAATAGGATATGAGAAGTGGCTATATTGGGTTAGAAGGTGTACACACTTAACAGTTTTGGAGAGCTCCTGCCAAATTGCCTTCTGAAAAGCATAACCAATGTATACTTCAAGGATAAATGGAAATGACCTTTCCCATTCACTACTGATAACATATGTTATTAAATTTTTACATTTTTTTCCTGACAGGAAAAAACAGTATTTTTTCTGTTAGGAAAAATTTGTTTTTAGCTTAATTTTTTTTAACGAGGTTTAACATCTTTTCATACGGTTGTTAGCTATTTCTCTTTTTATTGTCAATTACTTTTCATGGTCTTTGTTTCATTTCCTATATTGAGTTGTCCTTTACTTTGTGATTTGTAGGAATAGTTTAGATACCACAGATATTAACCCATTCATTGTCTATTATACACACAGTAAACATTTTCTCCTTGGATGACATTTTGTAGCACAAACTTTATGATTTCAAATCTGTTAACACGTTAAGCACCAAGCCTGTTTTGTCTTCCGTTCTGTTTCAGTCACCAGGTGACGGACATGGCGCTTAATGTGTTAACTGCTTTTCTTCATAGATTATTGCTTTTGATCTTGTATAGGAAGGCCTAGTCAAGTTATTTAATATTTCTGAACAGCAATTTCCTCCTCCTTAAAATGGGGAATAAATTATACTTCTTAGGATTACTAAGCAGATTAAATGATAAGAGTATAAAAATGTCTAGCATTCTGCCTGGCATGTAAAAACACCTCATAAATATTGCTTATTCGGGCACTTGACAAACATCTATTAAGTTCTGTGTACCAGTCATTGTATTAGGGACAAAGGATAGGATTCTTCATGAAACAGGAATGGTATTTTTTTTTTTTTTTTTTACAGATTACATTTTAATACCTTTAAAAGCATTCTTTCTGTTTTAATTTGTGGGGGGTAAAAATTTTCCCCCTTAACCCATTATGATAAATTAACTTATGCTTTTTTCTTACTCTGTGATTTGTTTGTTTTTTTCAATAGGATTTTGTTTGTTTTTCACAAAAATGGTCATTTGAGCTGTAAGGCAAAAGTTCAGCCTCCTAGGCTGAATGGTGCGAAGACTGGAGTTTTCTCCACAAGGAGCCCACATCGTCCCAATGCAATAGGACTGACCCTGGCCAAGCTGGAAAAGGTAGAAGGTACGCATGTCATTTTTACTCTTAACCTTTTTTTCTTGAAAAGAAGTCTTACAAAATCAGCATAGTATTCAACACTGGCTATTATTCAGACAAATACCAGTGATGTTAAGAAACATTTTGACATAAACTCTCTGAGGATGCTCAGAACTTATTTATATCGTTACATTTATCAAAGTCTAAATTATTTAAAAATGACTTCTAAGATTTCATAATCATTAAATTAGTAACCAAATGTTCTCTGACTTGGAATGGAATAAATACAAAATTATTAAAAAGTATTTGGATGCTTTCAAAATTTAACACACAATAACTGGTAATACATGCATATATGGTCAGCACATAGAGTGGTGGTGTATCATTTCTTCCTCGCAGCCTTAAGAAAGTGAACTTGCATTGTGGTTGCAGTTGTGTTCAACAACTGTGATTTGTGACAGAGGGCCTGGGGTGAATCACACTATAGGATCAAACATCTGTCAGATTGTGGAAGTCCTGTGTAGAATACCAGATTAGTTTTAACTCCCTGTTTATGTATAACCTAGTTACTGAGCCAGACAGTTTGGAAAGCAGGCATCCCTTGCTTGAACTTCTGACCTAATCAGCACATTTGTTAGAGAGGCAGAAGATGGAACAGCAAGTGGACTGGAAGTCAGAAGACCACTCCAGGCTTCAGCTTGCTTATTTGTTCAGTGGGCAAAGAAGAAGTATCTGCCCAATCTGCAACTCTGCATAATTTTTTTGAGGATCTTATAAGACAGAAGCTCTAAGAGTACTTCTCAGACTTTTGGGTGCTAAAAAGATGAGAGCAGTTCTTTTGCTTGTTCTTTCTCAGAACTTGAACTCCTCTGCTGGATTGTGTTCAACCAGGCCTTGCATAGGTTTTCTGGAAAAATTCTGTAGCTGATCCAACTTGAGTTTTATTAATTTGTGATGACTAACCAACTTGGATAAACAGCACTAGAACATTTTATGATCATTTGTACATCCACACATATTTTCTGAGCACTGATTATGTGCCAAGCATTGTTCTAGGTGCTGGGGATAGAGTGATAAGCAGATCAGATAAAAATCCCTGCCCTACAGAAGAACTTAACATCCTGACGGGGAGATCAAATCAGATAGGTGAAAGGCAAGCACAATAACACTATAGTTACTAAATATGCATTATAGTGGCTACTAGTGTTTGTGTGGTATGTACAGTTTATGGAGAGCATTCATGTGCGTTATCTCATAATGGCTCTGTGGGTTTGATAGGGTAACAGTCTCCATTTTATGGATGAGGCCACTGATGTTCTTTGATATTTGATAATTTTAATAATAGCATCTAGCCAGGGGGTTGTCTGACTCCAAATCCCATGAGCTCCTACCTATGCTGCAGTACCTTTCTTTCTTCAGTAGACCTTGTTAAGCATAATCATTTAGAAAGTGCAAAAATCATCTTTCCAAAGTCCCAGGCTCACTCACAGTAAGCATAATTTTAGAAATCAAAGTCCTCTGTTAGTCGTGTTTTTCTTAAATGGAGATAGAATCCAATGTGATCATATACAGTTTTTCTGGCCAATTTCCCAAGGATCAAATTAGTAACGTAGACCAGTAGTAGGATTTGGATAGCAGCTATGTAAGTGAGAAAACAAGAGACCTGTTCTTAATATTTGATAATGGTGACTTGTGTTCTGCTTAATTGTTTGATGGAGTATTAAATTTCAATTGCTGCATAACAAATTATGCACTTATCAGTTTAAATAACACACATTTATTATGTGTTTGAAATATTATGATGTTTTTGTGAGTCAGGAGCTGGGTCCTCAGCTTAGGGTCCCACCAGGCTGCAATTTAGGTGTCAGTTGGGATGAGTTCTTATCTGGAGGCTTGATTGTGGAAGAATTCACTTCCAAGCTCACTCAGGTTGTTGGCAGAATTCACTTCCTTATAGTTGTGAGACTGAGGGCCCCGGCTTCTTGCTGGTCATTGGTTTGTGGCTGCCCTCCACTCCTAGACACTGCCTGCAGTTTCTCGCTATCCCTGCATGGCTGCTTACTTCATCAAGTCCACATGGAGAGTCTCTTGAGTGAGTCTGCCAGCAGACACAGGCATCTGAGATAACATAACGTAGTTACTGGAGTGATATCAAGTCACAATCCAAAGGATGGGATTGTACATGGCTGTGAACACCAGGAGGTAGGCATCATGGGGCCACCTTAGAGTCTGTTTGCCGCCGTGGAAACCCTCTTTGGTCCCACAGAGATACATTTAAGACGCCAGTGTGCCTGACAGAGTGAGAAGCCCAGTGATGCAAAAATGAATCAGGCCACCCCCCACCCCCCAATTGCTGAAAGACTTAACTGCTCACTGTCTAGGGAGAGAGAATCTAAGCCAGTTATTGCCAGACCACATGAAGAGGGCTCTCGGAGAAGTTTGTATACAGGTTCCTCTAGAACACAAAGGAAAGAGCGCTTATGTCTGGGAGAGCCAGGAGGGCTTTGTAGAAGAGCTGTTATGTGAGAGCGTTGGAGAGCAAGTAGGAGTGTGACAGAGAAGAGGATGGGTTTCCAGTGTATGTCAGCACCAGGTGTAAGAGAGGCTGGTACATAAGGGAATTGTGAGCAAGCTTAGGGACGCATAGGTAGACGATGCTGGTTCTTTCAATTATTTGCACTATTCTTCATTGTTACTTCTAAGAGGTGTTTTTCACATTATAGGTGGAACTATATACCTTTCTGGGATTGACATGATTCATGGCACACCTGTACTGGACATAAAGCCCTACATTGCTGACTATGACTCACCACAAAATTTGATTGAGCCTTTAGGGGAGTATAATTTACAGAATAACCAAAATAAACCAAAAATGGTGTCCCAGTCTGATGCCAAGACTGACAGCTGTGCTCAGCAGCAGCTCTCAGAGTGCGAAGAATCACAGCCCTGCAGCCGCACTGAGGAGAAGCCTAAATGTTCCGAACACAGAGCTTCAGGAGAAAATGACATGCAACACAAAGACACGGCCAAAATCCAGCAACGCTCGCCTAGGCACAGGGAGAGAGCAGACGTGGGTTTAGAATCCAGAAGTGGTCAGGGACTGAGTGTGGCAGAGGAGCAGATTGGCCCATGTCGCCTGGAGGAGAGCTTTTCAGAGGAGAGTGCAGATGAGTGGCCGCGGAGAAGGAAAGAAGCAGCGGTCCCACAAGGAGGCAGGATGGAGGGGCAGCCTGTGCCTCCTCACTGCCCTCCCGGGATGGCTGGCGCAGCCCACAGCAGTGTGGTTCCCGCCTGGGTGCGAGAGGCCCCTGTGGCCACCTTGGAAGTCCGGTTTACTCCTCACGCAGAGATGGACCTCGAGCACCTCAGTTCAGAAGGTGAACCAGGTACTTCCCATTTCTTATTTCTGAATGAGAGAGGAGCTTTTATTAGGGGATTTAGCCAAATTTGGTATTTCTGAAGGTAAGATCTCTTAGCACAGAAATTGTCCACATAAAGTTCTAGCGCTAGAAAATGCACTTTATTGCAAAAGAGGCCAGACTTTTACTTGGAGCCTGTTTTTTTTTTTTTTTAAAACATGTGTTTCTTTTAAAACATCGTCTGGTTTCTCCAGCCCATAGCAGATCCAAAGCAGCCATCGAGAATGAAGGATGGGCTGTGAAGAGGTGGGTGCAGTGGCTCCAGTAGAAAGTAGCCAGTTATGCAGGAGATGTCAGATTTTACCTGCCCCTGAAGGGTTGTGCTTCTCATTCTTCCTAAGGCTTTATGTTTAAACAGAGCATTTGCTTTTTAAATCCATCTCTTTATTAAAAAGTTTTATTTATGGGAGTTGGTTTATCACTCGATATAGTTGATGGGGAGGAGGAAGTTCAGCTTTAAAAGGATTTTTTGTGGTAGAACAAAGCAATGCATCCTAGAAGATACTTTATATTTACACTTACCCTTTGTCTTATGGATATTGTTGAATGCTTCTTACTTTGGAAAGTTTTCTCTTTTTCAAACTACAGTGTTGTACTTTCTTGATTAAAAATAGTTAAAAAAAGAAATTACAAAGTATAACTATAAAACAGGGATTGATTTATAACAGATAGCAGATTTTAGAGCCTGTATAGAAATAAGATATGAGCTCAGAAAGTTCAGAATCTATGAAAGATACTGAATGGAGGGAGAGAGGATGGCACTGATAGAGTGCTGTGGGAACATGAGGGAGAGAAGGATTCTGACTGGTGCAGCAGGAAGACAATCTGGGAAGGCTTCCTAGAGGAAAAGGTATTTGAGCTTAGCCCAGAAGGATAGGTAGGCAGGGAAGTGAGGTGAGGCACCTATGACAAATGAACAGCCAGGCAAAGGCCTGGTGCTTCTTCTGCCAGACACACTGTTACTGAAGAATGTGATGTGTTTTTTATTGTTTTGCTTTTTGTTTTTATATTTTCTTTTTTCTTTTTTTTGTTGTCTGTGGATGTTTTTGGAACTCTGCTGTTTTGAGTGGTTTTAGAGTCTTTTTATGAGCCATGCAACAAGGGAATCTTAGCAGTGTGTAATTAGTCCTTGTCTTTTGATCAAAAATTGAACTTTATGGCTTTACCTACAAATGTATTTATTGGAATAAATAAATGAATCTTGGCTGTTTTCTAAAATTTAAATTTCCTTTCAGAAGGAGAGGAACCCACAGCCAATCTAGATCAGTGGTTGCCAACTGATGGTCTGTGGGCCACTGGAAGGTTAGTGACTGCTGGCTTAAGGAAACCTTTGGCGACCGCTGCTCTAGATGGTATTTTGAACAGGGACAACATTGTTTAAAGCACATGCCTTTCTGGAAGGGTCCAGCCTTCATTTGGACATATGTATTATACTATAGTGATTAAAAATTAGGTCACAGTTCATTTTTTATGTATGTGGCCTGGTGCATGAATTTGTGCACATTGAAAGGAAATTCAGTAGAAGAAGTATTTTACTATTGCTATTTGCCCTTTCTGTATAAATGTCAACCAAATTCATGATCGACAATGACAGATGGAAACACATGCGTGTGATTGACACCAGCAAGAACTTTATATGTATCACGCATGTGCAAGTCAACTTAGCCTTTTATAAATATAGAACAAACTTGCTTAATTAGATCTGCTTTCTGATATAGCTAAACTTTTTCCAGCCCAGTGAAGCACCCCAACTTCTCTTTTAGGTAATTGTCAGCAACACAGCAGTAAATATCAACATGAAGCAGATTATTATTGTAGATCACACATGGAGAACAAAGGGTAAAATATTTGCAGCAGTGTTTGACTATATTCTGCACAATGAGAAAACCTAAAGTCATTTTCAAGGTCCACCATTTCTTCTTTTCAGTCGGATCAAGTTTCTAAGCTTGCTTTCTTTCTTTCTTTTTTTTTTCTTTTCTTTTTTTTTTAATATATTTTATTGATTTTACACAGAGAGGAATTGAGAAGGACAGAGAGTTAGAAACATCAATGAGAGAGAAACATCGACCAGCTGCCTCTTGCACACCCCCAACTGGGGATGTGCCCGCAAGCAAGATACATGCCCTTGACCGGAATCGAACCCGGGACCTTTCAGTCCGCAGGCTGATACTCTATCCACTGAGCCAAACCAGTCCCGGCAAGTTTCTAAGCTTTCAAAATCTCCATTTTCTGGCTAATGAAAAGAAAATGAGATTCCTCCAAGTCTCCTATCTACCTACTCCAGGATTTCTGTGGGGATCAAAGGAGATGAGGCACAGGAAAACACTTCACAGTTTTGGTTACAGTGTAAAGTGTTTCCACCTAGCTATAAAGCATGTCATATTCCTGGGCTGCAGAAACTGTAAGGAAGCTAGTCATTGCTAGGAAGAGGAAGCTGGGTGTTGCTATGCTATGGGATTTCATTACTCGATTGGAGGAAAGGACACTTAGTATATTAGCCTTTTATATGTATAGACTAGTGTCCTGTTGCATGAAATTCATGCACGGAGGGGGGGTTCCCTCAGCCCAGCCTGCACCCTTTCCAATTGAGGACTCCTTGGGGGATGTCCAACTGCCGGTTTAGACCCAGTCCCACAGGGATTGGGTCTAAACCGGCAGTCGGACATCCCTCTCACAATCTCGGACCACTGGCTCCTAACCACTCACCTGCCTGCCTACCTGATCATCCCCAACTGCCCTCTCTTGCTGGCCTGATCTCACCCCCAACTGTTCTCTCCTGCCAGCCTGATCTCGCCCCCAACTGCCCTTCCCTGCTGGCCAATTTGGTTCTGATTGGTTGGTTTCTATGGCAGTCAGCGCTCTGAGCCTATCTCCAGGCCTGATCAGAGAGGTGGGGCTGATCAGCAGCCCCTGCAGAGGCCCAGAGAGAAACAGAGACATAGCTGCTGGCAAAGCCTAGAGAGAAAGAGAGAGGCAATGGCTGACCAACAGCTGCCACAGAGGCTGCAGATCAGATCCTGCTTCTCTCTTCAGGCCTTTCTCCGGGCCTGATCCGCAGTTCCCTTGGCAGTTAGTGACCCAGCACTGATTGCAGGACTGATTTCCGGTCTTTCAAGCCTTTGGTTGTTTTGGATGTTACGGACCCTAGGTTTTTATATATCAGGATTTTACAATGCTGTAAATGCAGCAAGTTTTGCTATTTGACAGGGTAAACATCTTTTTGCCTGACATACACATCTGGGTAGAATGGGTTGGCCTGTTCTTTAGTGATGGCTTTGAACTTTCTCAGTGTATCTGTTCCACAGTTTTCACAAGGACTCTCTCATGTTCTGTTCCTTAGAGAGTGTGGCGTCACTTAACTGTGGGGCTGTGTGACACCTGCTCTCGGAGGCACCTTCCCTTGCTTATAGCTAGTGCTCTGGGCCTATGTGGGTTTAGTCCTATTTCTTGTGGCTTTCTGAGAATGCTGGGACTGTCATGTGTTTCCCTGATCATGCCTCCATTTATTCTGAGAAGAAAATAACAAGGAATTGAATTAACGTCTACATTGAGCATAGAAAAGTGACGTATAGGCCAGGACCGGTTTGGCTCAATGGATAGAGCGTTGGCTTGGGGACTGAAAGGTCCCGGGTTCTATTCCGGTCAAGGGCATGTACCTTGGTTGCGGGCATATCCCCAGTAGGGGGTGTGCAAGAGGCAGCTGATCGATGACTCTCTCTCATCGATGTTTCTAACTCTCTATCTCTCTCCCTTCCTCTCTGTACAAAATCAGTAAAATAAAAAATAAAAATAAAAAAATGCCACTGGGATGCATAATTTAAAAAAAAGAGAAAAAAAAAAGAAAGAAAAGTGACATATAGGTTGCCAGAAAATAAAAGCTCAGCTCTCCTATTAAGGAACTATGGAAAAATATCACCATGATTATATTTTGTTTAGCAAGTGGAAATTTGGGGGACCCATAAGTTTAATGACACTTGAAGGCTTCCTTTAGGAAAAGATATTACTCTAAGTACACTTGAAGGTGACATTCTCTAATGACTGGATAGATTTCCAGACCTTCTTCATTTCAAGTGATACTCAAGGAACTAATAAAGCTCCTCATTGAAGTTTATTGTAAAAAATTTGATCTACATGCTTTTGAGCATTAAGTTGTGTTGTTCTCATTGCAGATGTTGGTCAGGCTTCATTTAAGTATTTTCAGTCAGCAGAGGAAGCAAGGCATGCCATCGAGGCTGTGTTGTCAGCCGACCCCCGGTCTGCATACCGACGGAAGCTCTGCCAGGACCGCCTTTTCTACTTTACTGTAGACATAGCACACGTCACCTGCTGGTTTGGTGATGGCTTTGCAGAGGTCCTAAGGATCAAGCCGGCTTCTGAGCCTATTCAGATGACTGACTCTGTGGAGTCATTGGTGTCTCTGGGATCGTAAGTAGCTGCCATCACATCGTTAAGACAACCTACTTGACTTTGGTCGTGACTAGCCAATTTTTCATACAGGCTAATGTGTGCCTTCTTTTCAGAAAGAAGCAGCACTTTATGGTCTCACTGCTTTGTTTGATTTGAGTTGTTCATAATATTTATTTTATAAACATTTCTTTTAATAAAGTGAGAGATAAAATTTAAAGAAATTGCCATATGCTTCTTGAGTGGTTAATATCAAAGAATGCAAAATGATGTTCTCATTGATTTCTAAAAGAAGCTGATTATTCTTGACACTTGATAAAATTGGGCAGAGATCATTTTAGCAGGGACTTGCAAGCTGAGGGAACCTGTTCAATAGTTCATATTGGTTTTCCTGTTTGGAAAAACCTGACCTCTCTATTTTATTCTAAATCAAGCTGAGTTACTATATCCTGGGAAACTAACAAATCCAAAACAAATAGTTATAAAGATCTTTTTAAAAATATATATTTTGTTGATTTTTTTTTTACAGAGAGGAAAGGAGAGGGACAGAGAGTTAGAAATGTCAATGAGAGAGATACATCAATCAGCTGCCTCCTGCACACTTCCCACTAGGGATGTGTCCACAACTAAGGTACATGTTCTTGACCGGAATTGAACCTGAGACCCCCTAATCCGCAGGCCCAGGCTCTTATCCACTGAGCCAAACCAGTTAGGGCTGGTTATAAAGATCTTAGAGATCAAATCCCTGTGCCACAGACAAGCACATGTGCAGGCATGTGTATATATATTTAATCCTAACTCCAAAATAGAGACTTAGATTTCTTTGTATAAGAAAGTCAACCTGGCCAGTGTGGCTCAATGATTGAGCATTGACCTATGAACCAAGAGGTCATGGTTCAACCTGGTTGGGGCACATGCCTGGGTTACGTGCCTGGTCCCCAGTGTGGGACATGCAGGAGGCAGTCAAATCAATGATTCTCTCTCATCGATGTTTCTATCTCTCTCTCCCACTCCATTCCTCTCTGAAATCAATAAAAATAAAAATAAATTTTAAAAGTCACCCCAGAAGTCTAAGAAAATAACTTAATTAGTGATTTATTTCTTACTCTACGACTGTCTAGTAGGTTAGATTTTGGTGATAAAATGAGATGAATATGATCCAGTTCTTATTGCAAATCATAGTTAGTGGAGGAAAAAGACATAAGGACATTATTCTATTATGTTAGATAAGTATATAGTAATTAAATCTGTATGTACGTGGTTCCTGTCTAGTACCATGTAGGAAGCAGTTGTAATAATATATTGCCTATAGGTGATTTTGTTGATGTGATCTCAGATAAGATTTATAATCAGTGTAACCAAATTAGATACCTGTAAACATAACAGGCTTTCCTAATCACAGTTATAAATCTTAATAGCTGATTGATCATGGTTTTGAAATGAGCCCTGCTGCTTGTACATTCTTGCACAGCCATTTGTGGCTGATGACACTGCATTTGTGAATCCAACTAGGTTGTCTATGAGGTGACTTAGAACCTCTTGGGGAAGTATCTTTAATTTTATTTTTAAAAGCTTTTTATTTTGAGTTATAATAGATTTATAAGAAGTTGCAAAAATAGTGCAGAAGTTCTAAGTACCCTTCACCTAGCTTCTAGTTGTGATAACATCTTACATAACTATAGTAAAACTTGGATGTTGATATTGGTATAATCCACCCTAAGTTTTGACTTTGATGTTTTTCTCTTAAAGTTATTTTGAGATTGAATAAGGGCTTGAAGCACAAAATGTTGATACTTAATATGGAAAAAATAAGTCTGAGGATGATACCAATTAGCCTTCTAGCAAGAGTGCTGTTCAGTTATTTGGGGTTTTAATATACATTCTCAAACTTTTAGAAATAAAGTCCTAAATTCTCAGCCAGCTCACAAGTCTCTAATATTCCTAGTGTTTGACCTTCTAGCCCCTGCTTTAACCCTCCAGGATGATCTTTCATCCCGATCCTCATTATGTACAGACAGCGCTCATTAAAATTTCCTTTTATGACATAAAATCTATTCTCCAATAACCACCCTCTATTGGGACAATTTCACTCCCATGTTAGCCTGTCAGATACCATTCAGCTTCCCACCCTTCAGTCTTCTCATATGTCAGTGCCCCTATTTTATCAGCTGTTCCTCATATAACATGTTTGGAAACCTCTCTCCACTCCGACCCTTAAGTTCCTGAGTGTCCTGTTGTGAAAAATTTTGGATCTCTAGGTCTTGAACTTTCATCCCTCAGAGTAGTTTTGTTTTTGTAAATCCTCACCCAAGGATATTTTTTCCATTGATTTTTAGAGAGAGTGGGAGGGAGAGGGAGAGACAGAGAGAAACACTGATGTGAGAAAGACACATCGATTGTTTGCCTCTGGCACACCCTGACCAGGGCCAGGAGCCTACAACTGAGGTACTACCCTTGACTGGAATTGAACCCAGTTCTCTTCATTCTGTAGGCTGATGCTTTTTATCCACTGAGTCAAACCAGCTAGGGCTGAAAGAGAAGCAAGTCATATTTATTTTACTCTTGGAAACTTTTCAAAAGAAGAAGAAAGGGACACAATTCTCTGTACTATGCATAAATAACATCTACCTTAAATGTAGTCTTTCCTTCTTGGTGCCTGTAGATGGAGCCCTTGATAGCTGATTATTTTTAGTAGCTTGGAGATAAACTCCACGAGTTCAAGCTGTTCAGGTAATTTAGGTTTTCTGCCCTCCTGTACCAGCTTTCCAGAACAGTAATTTCCACAAGAGATGTTAATCAATCACATATAGGAAGAGATTAGAAGGACAAGTGATATTTATTAAATTTGTATATTAGAGCTTGGTTTAGGGTTGGGATGCATTATTCTAACATGTAGATCAAGCATGTCAAATTCAAAGGCAAACACAGACCAAATAAGCAAGACTTAAGTTTATGTGGGCCACAAAAAAAAACAAAAGATTCAATTTTCATAGAAACATAGGTTTATTTCAAAAGAGACGTGCTGAATACAAAGGGCTAAAATAATAAGTAATCATTCACATAAAATAATAGAACATTGTAATAAAAGTTAATATTTTTTCTTGAACATTAACTTGTTCAAGCATGTGTGTACCAGATACTGAATAACTTCACAAATTAATAAGCATAAAGCAAATAAGCCTATTTTTTTTGTTCTCCGAAAGCGAAATATTTCCTGTTGCACACACCAAACAAGTCAGTCCAAGACTAATGATGTGGCAATTGGCTGCTAAAATGTTCACTGTTAGTATTAGGGGAGAGAAATGGTGCGCCTGTGCATAAGGTACATAAGGGAAATGAATGCATCATGATTTTAGTAATCAGTCAGTAGGGAATGTTGTAGTTTGTTATTAATAACTAGGGGCCCAGTGCACAAATTTGTGCACCTTGAAATGAACTGTGGGCCGTGCGTGAGGCTGTGGTGGTCACAGGGGCAGGTCTCAGCCCATCCTCGGCGCCCCTGCCTGGCCCCTCCTGCCATGACCTCCAGTCCCCTGTGTGCCAGCAGCCCCACTCTTACCACTGCCACTACCACACACTGATAGCACTGGCGCTGCTTGCCCCCTTTGACGATGCAGAGCGATTGGGGCCAGTGCCAGCAGTGGGTGTGAGCGGTGGCTATTGCCCTGATCGCCCCTCAGGAGCAGGGAAGGTGGAAAAGCCCTCAGGGGTGATCCACAAATTACCTGAAAGATGGGAAAATATGTAGCTAGTGATGGACATTACTTTGAATAAAGCACTTTTAAGATTTCTCTTGAAATTATTGTGTTTTCTTTTATTACAAAATCCACCATTGTTAACCAGTACACATAGTATAGTCTGAAGGCCAAGTTGGGCCCATAGCCTGCTTTTGTAGAGCCTAAGAGCTAAGATTGCTCTTTACATTTAAAAAAGATTATAAACAAAAACTTCCAGAGAACACATGACAGAGACTGTAGCCTGCAAAGCTGAAAACATTTTACTGTCTGGCCCTTTACAGAAAATTTGTTGACTCTGATTTAGAACATTTCTCTGAAAGGGTGTTTTGAGTTTCTCCCTGAAAAGTTATTTACAAATTAAGGTTTGGGTTTACTGCATGTTTCTAAGGCAAGTACTATCTATATTTTGAAAAGTTTTGGTCATGTATCTATATGAGAAAAATTTATAAATTCAACATAAATAGTATGTATTATAATATCCTACTCATCTGTTTAAAACAAGGTTATACAAATCCATGTTACACACACGGGGAAAATTTCTAGAAGACTAATAAACAAAATATGCTAACTGGTTGCCTCTGGGAGGTGGTCTTTGGGGCCTCATTGGAAAAAGGAACTTTTTATTCTCTTCAGTGTATTGTGGATTTTTTTTTTTTTCTAATGATGAGCATACATCATTTTTATACATGGAACATATTAATAAGGAAAGTAAAAGTGTTCTAACTTAAATAAGTTAAATTTAGATCTCTAAATACATAATTATATATCCCCCTTCTTCCCCGCCCCCCCCCAGGGGGGGGAAAAAAAACACACACACACACCATTTTTTTCAATAAATAAATTTAAAGACATTTTTGCTTTTTCCTGGAGCATCATATGTGGGTCCAAAAACCAGAAGCCACCCATTGGCTGTGGAACTAAGGTAAACTGGCTGGGCCTGTGCAGATTGTCCCTAAGGACACAATGATTTTTTCTGCACCTCCAAACACAGGATTTTAGATAAAGCATTATGTTTCTGGGCAGAAGACAAGACACCCACGTGAATAGTGTTGCTGGCAGAGGTCTGAGCCTCCAAAAGCGCCTTAGTCCAGTACTCGCCAAAGCTGTGCAATTTATCCAATCTGGACTAAAGGATGGGTCTCTGCTTGCAGGATCCACTCACTCATCAGCTCCACCCACTGATTTTCTGTCTGCATGCATTTAGTGAGCTCATGGGCCATGATCTCTTTTCTCTGCATCCCCAGGGCTGGCCCTCCCACTGCCAGAATGGGAACTCTGAGCTCAGTCAGCAAAAGGAAGAGGCTTGGAGCTGGGGATCAGCTGTGCCCATTGGGTAAGGGTCTATGCTAAGGGATAGGGTAGACTAGGAAGAAGGACAGGCTGGCATGTTGGCAGGTGGCAGGCTTGTGTGTGGAGGTGGAGTAGGGCTGTCAAATAGATTTGAAGACTTGGGCTTTCCCTGGGTTGGGGGAGGAGTCAAGGTCTGA